TTTTTGCATAAATTGAGCCAACATATGAACAGAGTAAGAAAGTTCTGGTCTAGTGATAATTAAGTAGACCAAACGACCTACTAGTCTTCGATACCGATCCAGATTAGAAAGAGGAGTTCCAGTGGCCAAAGGAAGATGATGATTCTGATCTAAGGGAAAACCAACGGGTTTAGCTCCTAACAACCCAACTTCGGTGATGATATCAAGTGTATATTTCCTTTGACACAAGAAAATCCCATTGGAGTTGCGAGCCACCTCAAGGCCAAGAAAATATTTTAAAGGGCCAAGATCTTTCATATGAAAGCATGTGTTCAAGTAGGATTTAAAGGACTCAATTGATTTGTTGTTGTTTCCAGAAATGATAAGATCATCCATATAGACTAACACATACAACTCTACATAGTCATGATGTAGAGTAAAGAGAGAATAGTCAGAGTAGCACTGTATAAAACCATACCGTAGCAGAGCATTTTTGAGTTTGGCAAACCAACATCGAGGTGCCTGTTTCAATCCATATAAAGATTTGTGCAAGCGACATACTTGATTTGGTGTAGTGGTCTTGAAACCGGGAGGTAATTTCATATATACTTCTTCATCAAGTTCACCATGTAAAAAGGCATTGTGAACATCCATTTGGTGAAGTTCCCAGCGCTTGGCAGCCGCAACAGCGAGAAATGTTCTTACAGTCACCATTTTCACCACTGGTGCAAAGGTTTCATGATAATCCAGCCCCTCAACTTGGTTATTCCCCATAATAACAAGTCTTGCCTTATAACGCTCAATAGTTCCATCTGAATGATATTTAATCCGATACACCCATTTGCTACCAATAGCCTTTTTGTTTGGAGGAAGCGTTACTACTGTCCAAGTGCCATTATTTTCAGGAGCTTCAATTTCCAGCTTCATGGCATCTCGCCATCGAATATTTTTGACGGCTTCAGCAAAGTTTTGAGGTTCTGTAGCTGCAGAAACAACGGCTAAAAATTTCCTGTGTTGTGGTGAAAAGTTAGCATAATTTACATACTTGGCTAAAGGATAAGGTGTACCTGAAGGACGTGACGAAGCAGTAGAACAATTTGAGGGGATTATCTTAGTGATGGTATTGGTCACAAAGTCTTGCAGCTTGGTAGAAGGCAATTTGATACGATGACCATGTCCTAAATTTTCGACAGTGTCTACGGCCTGTGGTTCCTCACTGGTTTCAACAAATGGTGACATATTATGGGGTTCAAATGAAGAAGATCCAGCAGGAGATTCAATTGAAACAGGTGGCGTGACACTTGACACATCTTTATCAAGTAATGTTGCAGTTTCAATTACTGGAGTTGAAGGGACAGCAGGTATAGTAGGAACAAGCTGGAAAGAATCGTCTTCAATAGCATTACTGAAAGATGCACCAGACAAGATGTGATCATTTTAAGACGGAATTTCGGCAGCAAAAGGAAATTCATTTTCACAGAAAACAACATCTCTTGAGTTAAAGAAAACGCCCAGCTCTAAATCATACATACGCCATCCCTTGGTGCCATATGGATATCCCACAAATACACATTTTCTACTTTGAGCAGCAAATTTATCACCCTTATGATGTTGATTATGCGCATAAGCTAGGCAACCAATGACACGGAGGTGCTCAAGAGAGGGATGTTTATCATACAAGAGTTCAAATGGAGTCTTACCATCCAAGTTCCTTGTAGGAGTGCGATTGACCAAATAACATGCAGCAAGAGCACATTCACCCTAAAATTGAATTGGAAATTGAGCTTGAAAGCGCAAGGCACGCGCAACATTGAGAATGTGTCTATGCTTCCGCTCCACTCTTCCATTTTGTTGTGGTGTCCCAACACATGGAGTTTCGTGAATTATACCATTGTCACGAAAATATGTTTTCATGCAAGTAAATTCGGTCCCATTATCACTACGAACAATCTTTACTTGTTTATTGAATTGTCGCTCAACCATTGCAAACAATTGACAAAGGTATCTAGAGACTTCTGTTTTCTCAACAATGAGATAAATCCACAGCGCTCTCGAGTAGTCATCAACAATGGTTAAAAAATATCTAGCGCCACAAAATGTTGGGTTGCGATAAGGTCCCCATAAATCACAATGAATTAAATGAAATGCAGAAGTTGCTTTATTTTCACTATTTGGAAAAGTATCTCGAGACTGTTTTGCTCTAAGACATATTTCACATGATTGGGTACATAGATAATTGTTTCTACTAGAACTAACATTCGGAAACATTTGCAGAGCCTTCAAAGATGCGTGTCCTAGTCTGCGATGTAACAGGTCCAAAGGAATTTCCTTATTTGTTTTTACTGCAGCTGCTTTGACCATGACCATCTCTTTAAGATAATATAGCCCCTCTCTTTGTTCACCCGCTCCAATCGGCGTCCTCAAAGTGGGGTCCTGTATAAGACAAAACTTATTAGTAAATTTAACAGTGTAGTTAGAATCTTTTAGCAGCTGCGATACTGAGATAAGATTGCAGTTTAGACTAGGCACATATAAGACATTAGTTAATCTTATTCTTTCATTGAGCATCACAATTCCTTCCTTTGTCGCCATTGTCTCTTCACCGTTTGGTAGTCCAACAGAGCACTCAAAAATATTGTGCACATTGGTTAAGCATTCCAGTTGACCGGTCATATGATTTGATGCACCTGTATCAATAATCCATGGCAAAAAGGAACACTTACCACTTAGCTTCTCGGTTGCACCTAGCTTTACATTGTTCAAAAGGCTGACCAATGCTTGCCATTGATCACTAGTAATATTTCCTGGATTACAAATATCAGACCTTGATGTTTCAGAAGCAACCTCTTCTTTAGATGATTTTGCTTGTGCTACATGAGCCTTAACAGCTCCTCCACGTTTTTTGTTGTTAGAAACAGCGTTATATTGTTCTGGTTTCCCACGCCCAGTTCCCTTCAACTGTCCGCGTTGTCGATCTCCCCACCAATCAGGATATCCTATTACCTGAAAACAACCATCTGAATCATGGCCCATTCGATTGCAATGACTGCACATTCCTCCTTTTTCTTTACGTTTGAAGTTGGACTGCACTACAAACGCCATGACCTCACCACGATCTTCTACCGTACGGGTCACTGTACGCAACCGTTCCTCCTGAATCAATGTCGCATAAACTTTGTTCAATGTAGGCAGAGGATCCTGAGCGAGAAGATTGGACCGTACTGTTCCATAGAGAGCGTCATCTAATCCCATGAGGAATTGATGGATTTTCTCTTCTTCACGTTTCTTTTGCAACACAGAGCTGAGATTGCACTTGCAACGCCCACACTTGCATGCTGGGATCTGATCGTAATTCGCCAATTCTTCCCACAGCTTCTTCAGTTTCCCATAGTATGTCACTATGGTCAGTCCTTTTTGTTTGCATTCAACGAGCTCTGCTTTGAGCTGTTGAATACGTGGTCCATTAACAATGGAAAACCGCTCCTTAATGTCTTCCCAAAGATCCATGGCTACCTCCATATGTGACATAGTTGATCGCAATGAAGGTTCAATTGTGTTCATGATCCAAGAGACCAACAAGGAGTTGTTAGTCCACCAATCTTCAAGATCTGAAGATTCCTCATCAGGTTTGCTGATTGATCCATCAACAAAACCAAATTTCTTTCTTGCTCGAAGTGCCGTTCTAAGTGAACGAGTCCATTCGTCATAGTTTTCTCCCTTTAATTGAACCTGTGTTATCAAACTCCCAGGATTATCATTGGAAGTGATATCATAGGGTGAGATGGTTTTTCGGATGACTATTCCATCGCTATTGTTGACTGACTTGGAAGATTCCTTCACAGGAGAACTTTCACCTTCACTGTCAGACATGATTTAGATGTTTTATTCTATGTGTAACCTGCTTTGATACCATAACAGAATTGTTCTGAGATGGAAAAATGTCATGTCTTTCATTGAATCCTCATATGCTATATATAATTACAAGATTGAATGGAAATAGCTAAACATTCCAAAAATAGTTTCCTAATATTAAAGGACATTGATGCTATAAATATTAAATTGAATATATGTACAACTGGTACATAACTGAATATCTTCATGATGTTATTGGCAATTAACATCAAGATATCAATTGTCTAAAACTAACTATCCATAAACATATTTAGTAATAGTAACTTAAAAATTGAAAATTAAATGAACTGATTCACGCGCATTGGCTTACCTTTTCAAAATTTAATTTCAAGGCACGACCCATATTTTATCCCACTAAGTATTTACCATTCTTTTTAACTTAAGAATCTTCTAGAAAAAACTATATCATTACTGAAAAACATGTGTCGTTGAATTTTTGTCAATATACATACAACTACACAGTTTAAAAAATAACTTTCGTTTTCAATTTGAAATAGTCATTTTTTCTAGAAAAAAAAAGCACAAATTAGATAAATAAAATAAAAAGAATTTTTCACCCAAATAACCACCTTTCCACACAAATATTTCCATTCTACCCATCATTCCAATTTATTTTCCAATCTACCCTAGTTTGGTTTTTTTTTATTTTTATTTTTTTTACAAGGGGGCGCCATGGGGGATGGAGCCTCCCTTATAACTTGTAAGGGGGCGCCATGGGGGTTGGAGCCACCCTACAAATTATAAAGGGGGCGCCATACCCATTGGAGCCTCCCTTAAACGAAAATTTAAAAATATTTTTAATGTTTAATTAATTTAAAAATATTTAATAAATAATTATTAATAAATTAAATTTTTTTTTAAAATAATAATTTTGTAAATAAATAATAATTATTAGTATTTTCATATTTTTAACAATTTATAAATAAATAATAATTAATATTTTCATTGATAAATTCTAAACAACAAATAAAAATTAATTTGGATTAAATAAATTTAATCACATACAAATGGCTACATTTGAAAGATCTTGTACACTAATTTCTACGACTCGGTCGATTTAAATGTCCGCCCGTACCGCATCCTCGATTACGCACGTTTCTTGGTGGTCTTTATGGTGGAGTCGGGTCCACTGTGTCGTCATCAAGCATTTGTATCACTTCGGCCCATGCAGACGGATCCATATCCGTTAAGTCATCCAAATCAAAAGAGTTGCCCATGCCTTCATAGTTAGTTTGGGGTGGTTGGCTAGACGAGGCAATGTCAGGACGATAGCCTGCCTGATCGTAGGGTGGGATGGGTGTAAATGATTGGGTGGGTATTGGTTGATTGGGTGTTTGAAACTGGGAGTATGTGTGGTATTGTGGTGGATGTTGTTGGTATTCGGATTGTGAATGAGTTTGTGTGAATGAAGTGAATTGGTTAGGAGTATGTTCATATGGTTGTGATTGCGTGAGTGGGGTTGGAAATAGGGTTGGGTGGGGGGGTTGGAAATGGGGTTGGGATGGCGGTTGGAAATGGGGTTGGGTTGGCGGTTGGAAATAGTATTGGGTTGATGGTTGGCATTGAGGTTGGGTTGGCGGTTCGAAATAGGGCTGGGTTGGTTGTTGGGGCCTTGATGATGAATCTTGTTGGCGTGGGTTATTAAGATACCTTGGATGTGAAATGAAACCAATTGATACAGACTTATACCAAGTCATGTATTGTATAGATTGTTTCATCTCGTATGGAAACACGTTGTCGGACAAAACATAGTTGGTGCGATGCCTCCATTCACGACACTCGTGTTTTGCATACTTGGTCCACAGATTATATTCCCATTGATCGGAGACTTTACCGTTGTGATATTTGTCTGGTATGCACTTTGGGGGACATGGAATATATTGAAGCATTCCAAATTGAAGTTTCACACGATCACTGTTGTGCATTTCGACGGTGGTGAAGTTGATAATGGGCACCTTTGCACTCCACACCGCAGAATCTTGTCGTTCAACTTGATGAAATGCTTCTAGACCAAGATACGGCCGCCAAATGAACTGAAGGATGAAAAAAAAAAGTTTAGTATTTTCTAATAATATTCAAGGAGAGTATAACATTAATAGGTAGGTGAGTGAGTTTACATCTTCTTGCGCCAAGTGATCAATAAGATTGCGGTACTGCGTTATACTGAAGTGGGGACAATTGTCATAATTCATTCCAAGCGAAGACCACCTACAAATCGAAAACAATAAAATTTATTAATAATATGCTTAATAAATAAAACACTTTGATAGATGAATGAGAATTGGAAAAAATAATTACCTTCTAGCGAATGGGAATTCAAACTGATTTTGTTGGATAGGTGCTAGATTGGTGATTCTTGACCAACCCCAAGATTGTAGAAGAACACCACATCCGGTCCAATTTCCGGTATTGGCTATTGAGTTATGACATAAAGAATGATATAGGTGCGCTAGTGTAGCGGACCCCCAACTATATTGTTTTATTTTATCTACGTCATCTAATAAAGGTAAGTACATAGAGTGAACGACGCTTCCACTTGTATCCGGACATAAAAATAACCCTATTAATAGCATTATATAAATTCGGGTTTTTCTAATTTTTAGAATTTCAGGAGAATCGGGGGTTAATGGCAATTCTCTATAAATTTTTTTGAGCCATGACATTAAAAGTTTTTGTCCCCTCAAATCTCGTGGGGTTGGTTCAACCCCCAAGAGTTCTCTTATGAAATCACCGGTAGGATTGGTTTTACCGTTAACCGCCTTACCATGAATGGGTAAACCCAATAACATGTATGTGTCCTCGAGTGTAACCGCACATTCACCTATTGGAAGATGAAATGTCGAAGATTTTGTGCATTTCAAAGAGCGCATACAGTCGAAGATTTTGTCTGGTCAAATCTCCCAGATCATTTACAGAAGTCCTGTTTTTTTTTTATAACAATGAGGTCAAGTATTTTCAAGAGAAAATACTTGACAACAGCGATGTTGATCAAATGTTCGATAGTCACGAACAATCTGGCCTCGACTATATCGAGGTTTATCTTTTACTCTGCCAAACTGAACATGAGGTTGGTGAAACAACGGATATAGATGAAATTGATGTTGTGGACGAGGAGGAAGAAGATCCAGAGACCATGGTTGATCAAATGGTTAATTTGTTCGGGAGCGGGGACTACACTGCAATGACTCCCCTGCAAGACATAGATGAAGAGGCCCTACCATTAAATCAAGTGTATTGTCCTCATCAACACATGACGAACTTGCAATGCAGTGGCGAAGATACTTCCTCAGATTATTTCTACAATCCTTCTCAACAAATTGAAAGTGTCTTGAAAGTCGGAAACCAGTACCGCACGAAAGAGGAATGCATGAAAGCCATAAGAAAGTTTCATATGGATAACTTTGTTGATTTTTACATCAATCGGAACGACTCAAAACGCTATGTCGTAGTTTGTCGTAACGCAAGTTGCAAGTTTCGGTTAGCAGCGTCCTATCGGAAAAGAAGTGATTGTTGGGAGATAGGTTCGATGGATCCACCTCATAGTTGCACAACCAACATCAATCGACAAGATCATGGAAAACTAAGCTCTCAATTGATATCCCAAGAGATTTTGCATCTTGTGGGCCCGGATCCATCTGTGAAGGTCAGCACAATTATCTCTCATGTTGTTGCACGGTTCAACTATACCCCATCGTATAGGAAAGCTTGGATAGGTAGAATAAAAGCGGTGGAACATGTATATGGGAATTGGGAGCACTCTTACCATCAACTTCCACAGTATCTACTAGCACTTCAGAAATATGTTCCTGGTACGGTTGTAATATTGGAGTCACTACCAGCATACACTCCTGAAGGAACATGTGTTGCTGGAAGTAGGATATTTTCTCGCCTCTTTTGGGCATTTCAACCATGTATCAAAGGTTTTGCGTTCTGCAAACCAGTTATACAAGTCGATGGAACATGGTTGTATGGAAAATACAAAGGAACATTGTTGATGGCGGTAGCATAAGACGGAAATAATAATATATTTCCGATTGCCTTTGCCCTGGTCGAGGGTGAGACAGGCGAAGCTTGGAGTTTCTTCCTCAGAAACCTCAGAACACATGTCGCACCACAACCCAACTTATGTCTGATTTCTGACAGACATGCTTCTATTGTGAGCGCCTACAACAATCCTGCTAATGGTTGGCACAACCCTCCTTCTGTCCATGTCTTCTGCATAAGACACATTGCTCAGAATTTTATGCGGGACATTAAAGACAGAAACCTCCGTAAAAAAGTTGTGAACGCTGCGTATGCCTTAAACCAACCATCATTCATGTATTACCGAGAAGAAATAAGGTTGTCAAGCGCGGAAGCATTAAGGTGGGTGGATAATATTCCAGTCGAGAAATGGACTAGGTCATTTGATGGAGGGTGTAGATGGGGTCACATGACCACAAATCTTGTAGAATCCTTAAACGGCGTATTTAAGGGAACTAGGAACCTCCCCATCACAGCGTTGGTAAGGGCAACGTATTACAGATTGGGGTCACTATTTGCAGCAAGAGGCAAAAAATGGAGCGCTGTACTGCAATCAGGGCAAATATACAGCGAATCAAGCATGAAGTATATGAGGGATGAAACTTCTAAGGCGACCTCACATCGAGTTAGACCATTTGATCGTCACGATTACAACTTCATTGTTGATGAGACAATGGATCACAACGAGGGTCGGCCAATGGGACACTACAGGGTGGAACTTCATAAAAATTGGTGCGACTGCGGAAAGTTTCAAACCTTCCGCATGCCTTGTTCACATGTCATTGCCGCATGTTCAACTGCTCATCAGGATCCATTCTTGCAGCTATCAGAAGTTTACAAGGTCGTCAACTTATTCGGTATCTACAGTAGCAGTTTTCCAGTGGTAGCTAATGAGGACTACTGGCCAACCTATCATGGAGACACAATCTACCACAATGAAAATATGAGAAGAAACAAAAAGGGCCGCCCCAAAAGCACCCGAATCACAACTGAAATGGATACAACTGAGAAAATGGAAAGACTGTGCGGAATATGTCGTCTTCCAGGGCATACGAGGAAAAACTGTCCAAATGTTGGAACAAATTCTAGGTAGATTTAATTTGGTCTTTAAAATTTGTGTAATCCTGCAATTTAATATTTATATCAACTTTTCATTACCACAAAACCGAATTGAATTACTTCTACAGCATAAAACGCAAATCATTAAAATACAACGATTATTACAACATAACCTAAGATATAACAACAATCAAAGTAATATCATCAGTTCCGAACATCATAGACCTAACTTCGTTGTCATCTCTAATTCGCACCCAGTCACGCCGTATGTTTCCGTCTTCATCAAATAAGTACGAGACAAGTCTTTCAATACTCCTGATTCTTTGACCATTTGGAATGTCTCCTTCTAGCCACCGATTCAAATTTCTTCGTAGTTGTTCTAAACTCTGAATGTTCCAAAACAACATTCTTATCGGAGGCTTCGTCGGAGAAAAAATTACATGCCCATATCTTCTAAGGAACATGACTCACTCTTCTAAATTTGGATGAAACAATGTTAGCAACATGTCTATCTATTTATAAAAAAATTTTTGGAAAACCATAATATAATATTTTAATTATATTCATTATAATATATTTAAAAAATTAATTTTGTTTACAAGGAGGCTCCATAGGGGATGGCGCCCCCCTTTAGGGCATTTAAGGGAGGCTCCAATGGGTATGGCGCCCCCTTTATAATTTGTAGGGTGACTCCAACCCCCATGGCGCCCCCTTACAAGTTATAAGGGAGACTCCATCCCCCATGGCGCCCCCTTGTAAAAAAAATTAAAAAAAAACTCAAACTAGGGTAGATTGAAAAATAAATTGGAATGATGGATAGAATGAAAATATTTGTGTGGAAAGGTGGTTATTTGGGTGAAAAATTCAAATAAAAAAACCCAAAACAAATAACAGAGCAAAAAAGTTGGGTAGAGAAGAGAAAGTTAACCGAAGATTGACGTAGAAATGCGTTGGCGTTAGAGGGTGGAGCCCACTAGCGGTTCAACGACATGAGGTGCCGGCTCAGGACCTCGTCCTCAATCGGTCCACTACGCTTCTGGGAAATTTCTTTCAATCTTTGTACCTTTCAAGTTTCAACACGTCATGCTTCCTTCAACTACCGGTAAAAACCATTCTCTTCTCTTTAAACTAACTCTTCCTCATTTTCGTTTTCTATTTCCGTATCGTAATCTCAACTTTTTGTACCTTTCACTAACCTCTTTAACTGATTCAATTCGAACAAACTGATTCCTTTTCATTTCTTTCTTTTCTGTTCAAAGCTTGAATTAGGTTTCCGATCTTTGTCGATTTGGTTCTGCTTCACGTTTCGTGATCGATCGACGGCTGTGGTTTTGGTTTAGGGTATCGATTTCACCATGTCGGACTCCGATTCTTCCTCTTATGGCGGCGAATACAAAAACCTCAAACAAATTAGTCGCGAGAGTAAGTTGCTTTTCCTTTTGTTGTTCTGGTTATTGAACTTTTTCTGTTTATTTCTTCTCTTAAATTTTTTGTTGCTTCCGGTTGTAAGCGAATGCTATACAGTGTATGCTCATGGTTTGATTTTGAGTTCGGCATCATTGACTTCACTTTGCTCTTCACACATTGGTTCTGATTTTAGTGAACACTAGTATAATTTGTGTTTTGGCGCTTATAATTTTTGTTTGGTTTCGGAGTATTTAGTTTAACTAGAAGATATGTGAAAATTGAGTCATGCTAGTGTCTCAAAATGCGAGCCGTGCCAGCAACAGTGGCTCCGGCCTGGTTTTGTGTAATGCTAAACCATGGATTTGATTGCTTTAAGGGGTAACTAAGCAGAAAATTTTAAGTAATGCCAGTTAGAATCTTATAATATAGTCCAGGGCTAGGCTAGGTTTAGTATCTTCGGTTTTACAGTTCAGGATAATTTTTTGTTCTTCTCTGTTTCACTAATGAGTATTCTCTTCATCAACTCTGCAAGTAATATTTGGTTAGTTCTTATCTGTTGGATACAATGTTCTGCCATATTGAATGGAGAAGTTATCTGAGGATATATTGCAATGGACATGTTTCAGAATTAGACGATGTGTTAGAGTAAAATATCTTGTTATAACACTTCTTTGATGATGTTAAATATAGGAACCATTTGTAGGTGGTATATTTCAGGAGTTTTGCATCTCTTTGAAACTCCAAATTTTTTGACACCTTATTATTGGCTGTATGTTCTGGATTCATTTTGCTTGACTCTGTTATTTGCCCATATTCCTTTCTATAATTATAATTTGGACTAAAGACTTCTTTGTGATGCACACCTAGAAGCAAAGTTCAGGTTCCCAACAGTATTGCCCACTTTCTTTATTCGTGAGTCTACTTTGAAAGTCCTTGCTCCCCATGTAAATTTTTTCATTTAGACTTCACAACTAAATATGTTCAATTGAATCAACAACAACCAAGCCTTATCCCACTAAGTGGGGTTGGCTACATGGATCAAATTACGCCATAATGTTCTATCAATGACCATGTTTCTATTTGATCCATTTCATAGAGATTCTGCAAAGTATTACGCTAGCTGTCGACTGTCCAATAAACACTCTTCTTTTATCCAGGCTTGAGACCGGCTATGCACAACAAAGCTAACATAGACAAGATTATTATCAAACATGACAAGATGGTCACAAAATCGATAGAGAAACTCATGAAAAGAAAGAAACTTGATGCTCTGCCAAAACCTTTTTCATCCTTTAGTAGCATACTCGCTATTGGAGGTTATCCTGGAGTGATTGTTCCAGCAGGATATGAAAAGGGTATACCATTTGGAATTTACTTTGGA